AAATATTACCCAACCTTAGTCATTCCTTTCCCTCCATCTATGGTGATAATTCGTCTTTTCCGACTTTTCGCTAAAACATCTATTTATGAGTATTATCAGCGGATGTGAAGCGCCCTCCCAAGTAAACAATCAACGAAAGACTGAACGTGTTTTTAATTAGAAGAACTAACACTTGATGGATAGGACCTATCATCCTAATGTTTCCTTGACGGCCACACATCACCGAAGGATGACGGGGTATATTCATTTTGGTAAAATATTTGCAACGCCTACAAGGAATGTCCCTCCGTCCGGTCTATCTTTTCGTTTGTCAAACGTGTCATGGCAACTTTTCATTACCACTTGTTCGGATCGATGCGGCCTGACTTCGCTGGCACGCAGTTTCGCGAAATTGAAGAAGAATTGCGCTGCCAGCCCAATATAAGTTCTTTCGACACAATATCGCCATTTTGCTAGAAATATGGCAAATTGTTGCAGAAAAATGATGCAAAATATTTTTTTTTTTTTCTCTCAATCAATGCCTTCTTCAATGGAGAGAAACGTTGAAAAAATATTTGCAAGCCGGGCCTCTGAAGCGTCTTTGAGGGCGTTGCAAACGTGTTGCAAACGTGTTGACAAAATGAACATAGCCCTCATGGATATAACGATCAATTGTAGCTCTGCTTTATCAACATTATGGATCCGCACATACAACTTTCAATGTGCTCTCGTTTTTGTAATAAAAATAAAATCCGCGAATGTTTTGCAATTGTTATTATTATTATTATTATTGTTGTTGTTTATGTTTTTATATCGTTTTTGTTTTGCTTTGCAATTTCAAAATACGGTGTTATTTACCTTCTTTTTTTTTATTTAGTTTCGTTTTGTTTTTAACCCTATTTTTGTAATCGTTTTTTTCTTCTTATATAGATATATATGTATACACATTGATGCATAATGTGGCTGCAAATGTACATATGCATAAGGTTTGCATGTTAACTTATTTATTTATTTATTTTTTTTTTCCTTCAAAGTTGATTCACTTAATTGTATACATTTCTCGGGTGTATCTGCCAACATGTTGCGGATGATAATAGTAATGATAATGAGAACGATGTTGAGCAGAAAACACTTGTTGCATTTCATGTTTTCAGTTTTGTTTTGCTTTGCTATTCGGCAGGGCATCTGTTCGTATAGTTTGTGTTTAGGTTTTTTTTTTTTCTTCTTTCTTTCTTTCTTTCTTTCTTTCTTTCTTTCTTTTTTGTTCTTTCAATACAAACATACAAACTGTACATCTTTTGACCAACAAGACCAAGCCATTTCATTGAGGGAGCATAGTGTGTATATATATATATATATATGTATGTATCTATGTATTATATTTACATATATATATATATATATATATATATATGTGTGTGTGTGTGTGTGTGTGTGTATTATTTGTATTGATGTATTAAATGGATGAATGTATGGATGGATGCATGCATGTATGTATGTATGCGCGTATGTTGTGTGTATGCATTTTTATTTTTATTATTATTTATTTTATTATTATTATTTTTTTTTTTTATCCATACAATTGCACCAACTGTTGCTGGCCTTTTGATTGTTAATTTTGTTGTTATTTACAGAATTATGTATAAATGCGGTTACGTTTTAGTTTTCTTATAATATGTACAACAAGCATTTCAAATGAATTTTATAATGAAATTATTAAGGAGAAATATAAAATTCTGACGCTAAGTAGAAGATAAAAAAAATATTTTAATTCCGACATTTGATACTCTGCTCACGCAATATTAATTTAATTTCGTTGTTTAAAAAAACTTTTACTTCTAAATAATTATCGGTACAGCCGGCTGTCTACGAGACTGCGGCTAGTTTTATAGACAAAAGATTAAGACACTTATGAACACATATACATATATACACATACATATACATGTGGATTAATAATGTTGATGTCTATACCTAATTGTTTCGTTCATTCTATATATGAAAATATCTCAATTAATCTAACCCCTACAACATTAGCGGTAAGTGAACATATATCACATTTTTGCGAATGTATACGACATCCGACAACACTTGACACTCATGTCATATTGTATGATGCCATTCGATTTAGATTCGATTTTTTTAATCAATTTAAACATGTCTCTCCGTCTTTCCATCTAATGTGTAGCTATGCAATGCCGCTTTCCATCACGGAGTCGCAATTTTCTGGATATATATTCTAGGATAGATAAATACCCTGACCCATTTTAATTTAAAGGCGAACATGATTAGGAAAATGAATTCAATTAAGCCACTTTTACGATTTATACGATTAAGAAAAAATGTTTCAACATAAAAGAAAAAAATTTTGATAAAAATTACTTTCTTCAATTTGAACTACATAGAAAAGCTATTTTTTGAATGAAAAATCAACAAAGTATAACCTTTATTACTTTATACCTGGAAATATTAATGAATTCTTGGGCAAGAGAACGAACTTTATTAAATTTTTTTTTTTTTTTTAGTTATTAAATTGAACCTGGTCCACGCACGTTTTAATCCAGCTCTCATAAAATGTAAATATTTTGATAGCAAACATGGAAAAAAAAAATGATGAACTTTATTAAAGAAAATGACGTAAAATATTTAAAAGTCACTCTCGCCCAACTATAACGTTATTCTTATCCATTTTAAGAACGTTTTTAGTAATTAGGGAACATTTTGAACTATTAAAAACCGGATAGATTATCCGCCTGAGTAAGCGAATAGACAAAAGAGCTTGATTAAATATTTACTTGTCGTGAGTTCAAATTTCAAATGCGGTAAAGTTTTCAATAAAGCGGATAATCTTAGATGCAAGTACTTTAAGACTTTACTCTCTGGCTAAATGAATAATAATAAAACGAGAAAATCGGGTAATTTTTCGCTTAGGTTGCGTTTTTAATAATAACACTTACCGATAAAGACACATACCCTTTAGACTATGGACACTGCCTATCTCCTTCTGCTGCACCCCTCGATCCCTTACTTTTCAACCAATACCAAGTTACACGTACACCGGACAATACCTGACATTGGCTTTGAATTGACTCCATAATATAATAGCTACTATACTGGAATAGTGAACGGAGCAGCCATCGTTAAAAAAAAAAAAGTCACAATATCGCGATTTCTTATCAGGGTAAGGATCGATCTCGTATGGGAAACATGGCCAGCAGGATTGAAATGCAAGTGTGCTACCCTCCTCGATATATTCACCAGACACTACTACTCATACTGATTATCACTGCTTTCAATCCGCGACCTACACTCTGCTCAAGCAGGACAATCATTTTTATAGCAATAACGAAGACATGGATCCTTCAGGTAAATAACCTCAAAAACTCATATTCATATTCTGCCTAACAGATAAAAACACGGATAGTGTTTAGTGTTTTAATGAAAAAAGAGTTTTACTGAGAAATCAGCAGAAATTTATACCCAAACTCAACACAATAGGCAGGCATTTATCGTATGTATATCAATCAACAATGTACAAATCGACAAACCCCAAGAAGTATCAAATTAGGATACATTAAAAATATATATAGTGTTGATCGCGATGATCGTTATATAGCAAAGTACACTTTCTTAACAAGATTGCTCTTAGTAAGCCTTAGAGTATGTGTTACCGATTCCTGTATTCTATATGAAATCTTTCAAAAGGAAGAAGACTGAAAAAGCAATTTCGTATGCAAATATTTATAAAACAATTGATCGGATCAATTAGTATGATATGTTGGAAGAAATCTCGGCAATGCGTTAATGCTGAACAAGATTGGCAGCGGGCAGATGAAAAGCATTCCGCATCATTCGATTTGCAACTAAAATAATGACTGCATAAGTATGAAAAATAGCTTGTGGATCTGTACAACGGATAAAAAAAATGACTATCTTTTGGATTAGATAAAGAAAGAATACCACCGACTTTATATCGTACAATTCATCTTCAATTCAAATTGTTTAATATTTTTCTCATTTTATGAGAAACAACATCAGGAGAAAGAGACCTTAAGAATACCGTATGAACGCTTTCAAATTAATGCTATGTTATTTTTAAGATGCAAACATATCTGCATGCATGCGTGTACATATGCGCTTATTATTATTATTATTATTATTATTTTGTTATTACTTTCAGACAAAATGTGTAATGATTGCAAGTTACGTTCCGCAAAATATTCCTTAAACATGAACATCTGTCACAAAATTTGTTCAGTAAACGTGAAAATCAAGCGTCTGCAAAATTTTGAAAAACAAAAAAAAAAATAAAAAATATAAAAAGAAAAAATTTCAGCTGCTCCTGAAAGAATAAAATAAAACAAAACAGAAACAAAAAAAAAAAAGTAAACGAAAACAAGAAAAGAAACACCAAACTGGAATAAATAACTAAAAAAGACGCATTGCTCTTAATGATGACAATGATTCAAAATTCAATGTCTGGCTCTTTCTGCCTTTATTTTCACGCAAACAAAAGAAAAGGAAATTGAAGAAGTACAGCACATAAAAGAAACATGTTTCTTGCTACGGAATTAGTGAAGTAGAGCAACCATCGGTAAAAAAAAAAATATATATATATATATATATAAAAAAAGACAATAATAAGAAGGAAGAACAACAACAAAATTATCTTATTTAAGTCCTTTGGTAACTGTATGTGCCTGCATATATAAGTTAATACCTTTCATAGCAACAAAAGCAAAGGAGCATTTATTTGAACGAAAAGAAAAAACAAAGACAATGCAATGGCAAGATATGTAAAAATTCCACATTAAAAGTGTCCTGGAACGATATGTACAGAGAATAATAGTAAATCAAGAGTTAAATGTGTGTTAACACGAAAACTCCTAGAGCATGTATAAATGTATATATATATATATATATATATATATATATATATGCAGATGTATATATTCGCGCGCGCGTGTGTGTGTGTGTGTGTATGTGTGTATGCAAGTGTGTTTAGCGATTCAAAGTTAATTATTCATAATTATAATTTCATGTATTTTTATGTTCTTCTTTTTTTCTACTCTTCATAACAACATTCGTGTTGCACATGTTGCTTTTACTATTGCATGTTTTCATATGATTATCATGGCTTTTGTTTTTATTTTAGTTTTTATATTTATTTACTTTTAACTTTTTTTTTTTTTCTTTTCTTTTTTTTTTTTTTGTAACTCAGCCGCTAATGGGTACGCAACCGTTTTTGCTGCGCCGCCATGCAAAAAAGGCCAATACATATACATATATTTAAATAGGTATTGTGACACGTGTTGCTTCGTAAATTGTTCTTTTCTAAATGCATATACATATATGTGCACACACATAAATGAATGTGTGGCAGTTTATATAAAAGCTAGACTCTGACGTAAATTTGATTAATTGCAATTGTAAAATAGATAATAAACGCTGGACAGACAGCTTTACGGAAAGAGTGAAAAATAAACTAAAAATTAATTGCCTATGACTGACGGTGGTACGTACGCCCTTGACCATGAAAGCATAAAACAAGCAAGTTACAAGAGAGAGAGAGAGAGAGAGAGAGAGAGAGAGAGAGAGAGAGAGAGATAGAGAGAGAATATATCTAAATACTTCAATATCCTTTTTATGAAATAGTTTGTCAGAACGGCGAATAAGCGATAAACGAAAGTAAGAATGAATCCTTTAGTTGTTCCAATAACAGTATAAATAATTTTTCGAAAAGAAATTGATTAATGAAAACTTACCTGCCCGTTCCGAAGAAGTCGGAGCAAACAATTCCCACAAACGTTGAAATTCATCTGAATATTTTTTGATCAGTTGCTTTTGATTCGTTAATAAAATGTTTTCATAATTAGTAGCAAACGCCTGAAAATAGATAGATAACAGATGTTATTATATGAAGGCGCAAAAGAAGCCAAAAAAATTATATTCAGTCAAACTCTTATTTAATTGTTATCGTAAGTATGACAACGGAACACATTCACACATTTACAATCTTTTAGGTAACCACCAACCGATGGTCTAAACTTATCCATCAAATTGCTTTACTCGGGAATTACGGATTAGACACATACTGTGACCTCACATGTTCTTTGTCTCTCGGGAGAGAAAGTGAGTGAACTAAGTTAGCGATAAGATAATTGTTATATTAAGTTGACATGGCGAACGACAGGTTTGGGGAAGGCTGGACAATGATGCAGGTTAGCAAAAGACAACATTGAAGGAAGTACGACTTCCACGATGACCGTCCCAGAAGAAAGGCTGATGATCTCAAGTTTTTTCCTTCTGAGAAATCACGACGCGTTTTGTTCACGAGTTTCTTTCTACTTACCGTGGGTAAGTAGTACTTCATTTCCAACAAGACCACATGTTAACTAAACTTTAGAAACCCATCGCAGATTTCATCAATCCCGGGCACAGCTAACCATCAACAACAAAGCTAGTAAGCAACAGACCTCAGAACATACAAGAGAAAGGAAACGAACTGTCCCAAGAAAAAATAACTTTTCTTGTGGCAGTATAACCTGGTACCCGGGAAACTAACTTCTGCACCAGATAATGGGCAGAAAACTGCCTCTCCATATATTCTTTCGATCGGAGAAAGATTCTCAATTAATTTCAACATTTTCCGTCCGTTGTGTCAGTCAATTGATAAGTAGCCCTTGCTATGCTTACGATCGAATAAACCGAAAAGACGGGAATAGAATGGAAGTATTTTAACTTGGATAACATTAATGAATTTTTAACGGGAAGAGACAAATCGCAAGCAACTCTCTGTGACTTGGAACTCGTAATAGATGTTGGTTCAGAAATTAATGCTTATAGAGATTTAGATCAATACAGGCTTAAGTAGCTGCTTACCAACACGTCCACGGAAAAGAAAAAACCTTAGTTTAACTTAAAATATCAATTGAAAAACTGACTGACTAACTGACGCCTTCACATTATTGAAATCCTCCCAATGGAAAATAATAAAATATCAAAAAAAATAAATAAAAAAAACAACGAATTTTATTACAAGATCATAAATCTTTATATCATCTTTATACTTTTGATATCTCGCTTAAGACTTATTATAATATCGTCATTGTCTACTTGCAATCACGGTTATCGTTTAAATTCTGTTAATATTGATATATAATCAAACGGTATGGAAAATTATTTTTTTGCTTATTTTAGGGGATTGTTTCAGTTTATGCGATTTCTTAACGATTGAGAGCAGAGATTAATGCTTTTTTTTTTAAAGAAAAGTGAAATAAAAATTTTTTCTTATAGGATTTTGAGGCAAAAATATATCATTTATCATTTTAACTTACCTGTATGGTCCAATTTGCAGAGCCCATCATTAAAATGCTGCTTATATTATTTATTTCTTTTAATGTGTGCTTAGTTAAGTTATTTTGTTTTTTTAACAAATATTTTGCCGACGAAGGTGAGTCAAGTATACAAAATTTGTGATGCATTAGTCTCCCATTTAAATGAGAGTTCAAACGTATTGCGATATCTGCAGTAAAAGAAACAAAAAATATTAAAATAACCATAAAATTAAAGCATATGTTAAGGCTTGATAAATAAATTTTCGTAACGAACATCAACAAGTACTAAAAATTTGAAAAGAAACCAAAATTATTGCCTAAATTTACGGTCAATGGAAAAAGAAAAAACAAACCAATCATTTGTTATCGTAATTTCATTGACTTTACATCGAAATTGGTATTTCGAGTTACAACGAAATTTTCAAATACTTAAAATGAATAAATTGCGAGAATCATCCCAAAAAAAAAAAAGCTGCTTGTGACGTTTCTGTAACTTATTTCGAACAATACTGCAAAAGCATTTCTTAACAATTAACACTAGAATTACTGAGTACATAATTTTAATCCGTTTTAACTTTTGATCGTAAAAAAGTAGTTTTAAATGTAATATCCTGAAAATGTTTAGTGACAAGACTTTTAAATACCTGTAATCACTTTTTTCCGCCGATGACATTGATTCTAACATACATTGGCAACTTACCATTTAGCATTTTATCATTACTTGTAGGCTTATTACTGAAACCGATCGAGATCACTTTTGATGAGCATTTTGGTATCAGATTTTCCGGGATATCTTCACAAAATAGAAAAATGATTGTTTTTTTTTGAGATTGTTTCAGTTTCTCATTTATGGTAGGCGCATATTTGGGCAGATCGCAACTAATTTTTAGCATTGAATTCTTAATCGGTCAAGGAATGTTTGTACCAAATTTCAGCTTCCGAAAAAAGCGATAGAAATTATCCCTTTTGGTAGAAATACATATATATGTAAACCGTCAGTAGTTCTAGTGTTAAGAAAATCGCCGATAGAATTTGAAGGAGGCTAGTAATGTATTTTACAAAGTAAAAAGATATGTACACTAAATTTTCGATTATGTGCGTGTATGGTGCGTAGATATACTAAGAGTGAAACGTTAAGATAGAAGCTAAACTAGACCTAAAAACTTAAATACCATAAATATATATATATCCTATTATATATAATACAAGTATTATACTTTATCCCTCCAAGTTTATACTTTATACTTCTAAGTGGGCCAAGACCAGCAACTTTCAAAGGTCGTGGGTTCGAATCTCAAGCGCGGTAGAGTTTTTAATAAAGTCGAAGCCTTAGATATGCCAGTGCTTTAAGGCTTTCTTTGAACATTGAATACCCATCCTTCTTGTGACTTTGATTTAATAATACAGTCGGCAACAATTACAATTGTGCAGCCATGCAATCATTTTTTTTTTTAATTTCCTAAAAAAAGACTTTTTTATCGGGAGTGGCCGTAAAGATGGATCCATTTCCAATAGTGTTTGTTAAATTAAATCTTAAGACATTTTGAAAATTGTGTGTTAAGCATAAAAATAGACGGGAAAATGCTAGACGAGCATAATCCATTGAAAATGGATTAAATCGGACCGGACCGCTTTTATAACCACTCTGCATATAACGAGTTATTTCGAAAAAGTCGTTATTTGTAATTTTTAAAACTTCTCCACAAAAATCACTGTATACTAATTTAATATGAAAATTTTGGATGGAATGGACTGTTGTTTTGATCCCGCACCCATATAACTATATAAACGTTCCTACGAAACGTGACCGTTTATATGTCAAAAAATAATAATTTTTAATATATCGGGATGAAAATTGCTAATATATGATATGAAAACGAACCGCAACACATTAGAATCACTAAAGCCTAGTCTTTATGGCTCATATCATACAAGGGTTCTTATGAAAAAAGCAAAGTGGAAGCAAAGACTAATTTTCAAAATTTTGTGACAAAAGATATTTGACGAGAAAATTAATTTGGCTAAGTAGTTTGGACAATGTCAATGTGAGGAGTTGCATGAAAAACCTACATTTACAAGGAACAATTTTTGGTCACAATTTTTATCACAAAACTAAATGAAACCATGTGAGGCATTTAATGGTCGATTTTCAGAGTCTTCTTATGAGGTATATCAATTTTTTAACTATTACCGATATAGAATCGCGATTGCGGACCGTTTAGCGAACACCTGACCACCCTTGTTTTAAACAAATTTAAACCATTTTATGATTCCATAATACTCCCCACCTCAGCATCTCACAACCAATCAGCGAAACATTAGAGTTATTGACAGCAAATTTCAATTAAATTTTAATAGAAAATTATTATTCTTATTAGATTTTCAATGAACATTCTTCTTGAATATTTGCAATATTTAACGAATCTAAGCGTACATCTAAGCGAACCATGCCTTTTGAACTATATACCTGGTCATTGACTAAGTACATATATCACAAATTTGGCGAAGATAAGAAAGATGGAAACACATGACTTTGAAAGTTGTCAAGTCATACATTTCTTGAAAGTTGTTAAGTCATGTGGGTTGGCACCTGCCTACCTTTGCTCCTTTGCTCATGATTGCAAAATTGATCTGTTCTGATTCATATACTAGCGTATATCCAAATTGTGCTAAATTTGATAATGATCTGTATCTAACGAAATTCACGCATGCATGCATGCATACACACACACACAGGCTCTTCTCCTAAATATTCCTCCCATCTTGTTATTATCGCAATTCGTTTTTCAAGTCTTGAGACTGAGCAAAGGGGCGGTTAGCAAATCTAATTCTGCATACACAATATATTTTTTATTTATTTTTTTTTTTTTGTTTGTATTTGATATGGATTGGACCTTTTAACTTAAATTTAGATCCATAATCCAGTAACTATATAGAAATCCCATGCTGATAATCATAATTTCACGTGATGATGAAATAATGATGCTTTTTTACTAAATTTTTTGATTTTTGCTTTCTAGGTTATGTTTAACCCATTGGTGAAGAAATTGTTTACGTTAAATTGAGTAACGTTCTGTTAACTTAAATTTATATCCATGATCTAGTAACTTTATAGAAATCCATTGATAATATTCAAAATTTCACGTGATGATGAAGTATTGATGCTTTTCTAATAAGATTTTTTTATTTTTTTTGCTTTCTAGGTTATGTTTGACTCTTTTCTTTATTTATTTCAATTGAGTAACACGCTGAAGTTGGTTGGCATACACAATATAATGATTGCGAGTTTTACATTAAATACCGAAAAATTCATTATAATTAGATGCCTAAACTAAGTTGTGCTAAGTTTGCATAAATAAAAAGCTTAAAATTTTTGCTATTTTCTTCGCTTTTTTCATACATGTTTCACACATGCATACATACTTTTCAACTCTCGTTCAATCAGCTGATGTTACAAATAATTTTGCAAATCGACTTGTTTGAGGTTAGAATGAAAATAATTATACTGCTGTATAACAAAAGTCCCTCTCTGCCAACAAAAAATGGACATCTAATCACATTTGTCTATTCGCCTGTTTATTGCAAAATAATTAATTTTAAAAAATATATATTTACTAACATAAAATATTTTTTGGAGCAAAAATTATAAATTGCAATCTTATTTACCAATCGAATATTTTACAAGCCTAAGTAAATAAATTCACCAAAATCTTTCCCAATTACATTACCATAAATGCGTTACTATTATAAAAAAAAATAATTATAATGAGATTATGAGGCAAACTTGGAACCGACAAATATGATTTGTGAACATAGATTCTCACCTTGATTCATTAAATATCCACATTGCGAATTGGTCGAGTAAGCTCCATCGTTATCTATTATTATGCGAATTATGACGCCGCGTTTATATGCTTTCACTAAAGCTTTCGAGATCTTCACTGAAGTAAGCACGAACATGGCTAAATCTATAGAATATTTTGTCGCATTTAACAAATCTACGATACGATCTATATTGGAACCCATACAATATGGATTCGCACACGCAAGTTTTGTTTCAATTATGCTTATTTTATCCAGAGGTTCTCTAGCATTTAATGAAATGGCACTAAGTTTACGAGAATTACCCTGATGTTCAGCAAGGCATGACAGACTTTGCTCATTGGTCAAAATCAAGGCCCACAATTCTTTTGGCTTGCGTACGCTATTGTACCAATTTTTCAACGCCCGACAACTGTAATAACCAACTTCCGACAACACGAGCAATAATGTGCCATAAATGGTATAACGAATGGGTGCCGAATTCAACATTTTCGTGAAATTTTCCTTTTCGTATCACACGCGCACTTATAAAGATGTAATTTCCAACATTAGCTTTATAACCGAAAGCTGCACGACAATTTTTATTTATTTATTTATTTTTTATTTTTTTTTTGACTTTGAGTAAAATTCGCAATGCACTTGTTTTTCTTTAAATTTGTTAATATAAGCACACAAGCGTGGTTAATATTTTTTTAATTACATGACACATGTGATTCAGTTTAATATTTAAAATTCTAAAGTTCTCATTCCATGTTTTTGCATCTTCTTTTAATTTCGTTTTCAATTTTGCCACGTTAGTTTTCTCTCTTCTTCTATTACTTTCTATCGATCAAAAAACTTAATTTGAAGCTAACACTTCCACTTTTTAAACCTCTATGTTCATGAAAATAAATCTTGTTATTCACGAGATGGATATGCACGTGTTTAGGACTATTTTCTTTTTATGCATTTGATGCAAATCAGCTGATGACACTTTGTTTTGTTCTTGCTAAATTTTTTCTTATTCGCATAAATATTCGCTAACAGGGCTACCAACTTTCCATTTTCAGTCTTCTTCACCATTTGAAAGTTTTATTTTGTAAAATAAGAATACGGCTCATGGAATTTCAATTCGCAAACTACATGAAAAAAGCAGAGAAGACCTCCGCTGCTTTTAAGAATAGCCAAATATTTTAAGATGTCACAATGTATACTTGGATATAAACGAAAGCAAAATATGTTCTCAACATATGTGAGCTCGTTCAAGATTATTGTAAGTTATGTGCGATTTTAGAGAAATAGCTTGAAGAATTTTCATTGCTCTCTGCTATCAGAGCAGTCATCTCTTCTTAATATTAGATAATTGGATACCATAAAATATAAATTGATCAACAAAATAAAACGATACAAATTTTCAAAAATTCTAATGACTGGTTTTAATTAATTTATTATTTATTTAAAAATTTAATTAGAATAGAACTGAGGTTTGGCGTTGCTTAACAAAATTTTTAGCTGGTCACATTAACGGCAAGTTAACTATGAGGTGAAAATTTGTAGTTTAAACAAAACACAAAAGGGAAAAATATGTAAAATGGAAAGCACGCCATATGGAAAAGTTGTTAACTAAAAAGATGTTTAACACACACATACACATATCTATTCCTCTTTATGCTGTTTTAAGGAGGATCACTTTTAAATTGTTTCTACAAACGGGTATACCGAGACTGGCTAGGTTTATGATCTGAGAAGAAATTGCGTAGCACCAATATCTGACCAATACCTATGAACAACATTGCCGCAGTTTCCATACAAGACCACAACATGACGCGTTCATTAAGTTCTTCGGCTCGTTTGCGACCCTGAGCTTCAATCAAACGATGGTGTGTTTGCGCATCTAGAATGTCATTAAGACTTTTATGTATGGCCTGAGAGGATGTTTCCATTTGCGTTAGCACGGTAGCGTGATCATCGACACCAGGCAGAGCGGGTTCGTCGCCCACTTGAAAATCGATATAGACAAACTTATGCGAGAACGTGGAAAATTTATTGCTAAAACAAGCGGTATAAATGCCTGTTGTTTCAGCTACAAACTGATGACTATCGAAGGTGGCTTTCTGCTGCTCGTATATTACACGGCCTTGAGGATCTTTCAGTGTTACATCGACATCCAATTGACCACCAGCTGATACCTGGAACTCCAGATATGCGGTTATATTTCGTCTAATTTCCTCATAGAAGCAATCCTCAGCTCCGTCTGCCAAATCGAAGGTAAACTCTACAGCCAATGTCATTGGCCAGTTTAGAAACGACATCAAAAAGCAGATAAACCATAAAATTTGACTGCAGTTTATTCTCCCAAGTGTTAGCCGCATTATACGTTATTCAATTATTCCTTTAGACTAAGTTTATACTGCTCTTGGGCGGGGATATCGGGTCAAGTATTCGTTACCGTGTTTGTTTTGCCACGCAAGTCTTAAAAATATCCTACACAAAAAACACAACAGTATACTGCGACATTTAAAAAAAGAATTCAATATTAATTTTTATACAGGGCATATTTACCTCACGTGAGTTTCGATTTCTTTCAATTTTTACTTAATTTCTTTACTATTATCTTATATTTCAGTAAAAATTTCGCATTTTTCGCAATTTTCTACTTTTTTCGCCTGATTTCTTTAAATTCTTTTTACTTATAACATTTAGTTACAGCAACAAAACTGACGTGTGATTTATTATATATTAATTCTATTTCGTAAACACAAATAGCAGGATTGGGCATTTCATTTTTACAGTTTGACTGTATTTATCCCAAACAAAAATGTATGAACTGGGCATTTAACAGAGTTGTGTTATCTACTCGCGTTAAAAGGTAGAAATCACAAATTTTAGACAGTTAAAATATCTTATATAATAAGATCTAATAAATTGCAATGATTTTTATTCGTACTTTATTTATGCGCTCAGCTAAAACTTCAAAGTCATTTTAATATTTTTTAATCGATTGGTAATCGAAATTGTTGAAAATGAGAGAAACAGTATTTGCATTGTATATTATAAGTATTTGTTAAAAAATAGGAGGAAGCCGGTTTTTTAGGCAATCACTACTTTTGCAGAATTGCAAGATGATCCGAATTTTCAATCGTTTACTTGATATAACATATGTAAATGCAAATTGGCAGCATTTTCTAGGTAATTAAGTAAAATGAATATATTACTTCAAAACAAGTGCCTTTGGTCCGATTTAGCTAATTTAGAACCATCTTAAGCTTAACTAAAGGCTCGGTTTTTACGTGAATAAAATTTAAACAATACAAGTTATAATTATGGATTTTTTTAAAATTTAGGACTGCCCCTTAATATAACTAAAGTGCAAGAAAATAGAAAATTTCTTCTCAGCTAGGTTGTGAGGTTGTAATCATGAGTTTCAAAGACAGGCATGTTTGAGTCGTTTTCATAATGTATGCTTACTTTATGTGGTTTGAAAGCATTTGCATACTCAATATATATTTTAGGATAGATATCGTTGAAGATCAATTGTTGCACACAATACTCGAGTGATATGAATGAACTATATGTAATTATCACAAAACCCAATTCGTTTCTCAGTTCTTCACCAAAGTTAAATGAGTGTTTCCTTTTTTCAATGTTATAAACAATCTCATTCATTTAAAATTGCTACAAATATTTAAATAGCATAGTAGTGCTAAGCTAAAAGAAAATTATTTTAAGCATTTTTTTTATTTCATAATACCATTAAAATAGATATCAATGTATAAACAATTAAATAAAGCAAAGTGTCTGATCGATACTTTATAGGGTCTCCCTTTCACTCTCATAGCAAAATTACTAAGGAGGAATAAGCGGGCATTTTTTTCATGCCTTTAAAGCCCATTTGAAAGTATCAAATCTACTATCCTTTTGAATACATTTACGTAGTATCTGCCCGACTTTATAGCTTTCCACAGAATTGCATTCGCGCTTCATTTATTACAAGTGCAATCTGATTCGGAGACAGATGTGTACGAAACTTTCAGAAATTTTCATGCTTAGGCACATGCACAGGTATTGTGTATTCGACATTAGCATGGAGAGGATCAAAAAATATGTAGAACATATTCATTTCCAACACGAGAAAGCGGAATCAGTCAACACCTGCCGGTTGCTATTAATATGATAGCAACTAATCTTAAAACGCTGCTGAAAGCAAACAGAAAGACCAGCAATAAGCTGGGATCATTTTACAATAAATATAATAACAGTTACGCCTAACAGGACAATAAACAGCCGCAACGAATTAGTATAGCTTGTGTTAATAGTAAATAAATAAGAGAAAGTAAACATTTAACTGTAAAAAAGAAATAATTATGATTTTTTTAACACTTCTAAACACGCAGCCTTGGCAGTAGGATAATTAAACTTGAAACCAGTATTTAATGCGTTTTCTGGTTGGATTTTAGCTCCCTTTAACAATAAAGCTGATCGATCGTTTCCAAATAAAAGATTTACCGCAAATTCCGGCACATTAAACAGGCACGGTCGATGTAAAGCTGAAGCAAAAGCCTGTAGTATGCAAAACATTTCTAAAGTTATAGTTTCTTCATTTTAGATGTCATGTTTTTTAAATAATTTTACTTTTGAAAATTGTTCGTTGGTTACGATTTCAGGTGCAACAGCATTAAATGCTCCAGTACACTTCTCATTTTCTAGGCAGTGTTGAATCAGACGACATAGATCTTCTAAATGAATCCATGGTAAAATTTGTTTTCCGCTACCCATGGGACCGCCGACGCCTAACATGAACGGTAACCATATAGATTGAATCATGCCACCTTCTCGACCTATTACTACGCCAGTTCTCAATTTTACCTAGAATCGTGAAAAAGTTTATGCGCTTGCGAAAAAAATTGCTACGAGCAGCTTACCATCCTAGTTTTTTTAGCGATGTCTTCCGGGAGAGTGGCTGCTTTTTCCCATTCTAAACACAAATTTGACATAAAATCGTAGCCTTCAACTCGATCGCATTCAGTGTAAACTTTTAGATCATCAGGTTTATAATGACTGACACCGACAATATTGATGTAAGCATCTACATCACCAGATCTTTCTACAGCTTTCACCATGTTAGCACTAGTATTAATCCGAGAATTCCAAACGTTTTGTTTAAAGCTTTCGGTCCAACGATGAGTAGGATCTAAAACATTTTGTCCGGCCAAATTTACCACTGACGTAACACCTTTAGGTAAGCCCTGACTTTCCAATTGGTGCCATGTGATACTTTTGTGGCCTGGCATACGTGAAACTACAGTCACTTCATAATTTTGATGCAATAAATATTTGGACAAACGTGAACCTATAAATCCGGAACCACCGCCTGATTAAACACAAAACTAGAATCACTTTTCGTAAAAAAAAAATTTTTCGTTTCTAAATGGCTCACCAATAAGTACGTGTCTACCCATAATTCTAATTAAAAAATTTTCAAAATTATGTTTAGTTTACGTAAAAACTACAGATAAAAACTGTCTTCTTCTTCTTCTGTGAATCAACAAACCAATAACAGATGATTTACAAAGTTGAGTAAAAAAGGTCCAATGAGTGAACGAAGATCTTTATTAAAACTATAATAAAGTTGGCGTTTAGCTTGATATTTTAAATATATAAATTGTGCGTGTTATGACGTCTACCATCTAGCTAAAATCATTGTGTGAGAAATGATCTTTCCCAAGTTTTAATTCATTTTCATATTTTATTTTCTCGACGTTTGATGTAATATGGTTTGTAATTTTATACATTTTCCAAGTCTGGGGTTATCAAGAAAGCAGGCGATTAGCGCTTGGTTTCATTAGGAGACAAATGATTATCGCCAAGAAGCTAATCAGGTACCATTGTCGCCAACTTTCCAATGTTTCTCTTCAAAGTTTCCATTTCAAAGCATTAATAACTGAGAGAGGCGTAAAAAATGCTATACCAGCTCTTTCGCTCTTCGTGCAGAATACGGCCGTGACCAAGAGAAATGCTCCAAAACTGTAGTTTCATTTTCGAAATACTTAATACTGTAATACGCACCCTTATACGCACTAATGCATTCTTGCTTTATAATCGTGGAGTTTTTACATAAATCTACATACAACGATAGAATATATATTTGTACGTCGTTTGTAAATATTAGAAACAATTCACTTATTGGTTTTAAGGTAACACTAGGGGGTCAGAAGCATCCCGCAAAGCCTTTCTCGTCCGTTTTATTTGAATCCTTTCTTTTGCGTCGCGGTTATCGTTGCTTTCGTCTTCAACGAGCATACGAGGAACTTACAATACATTGCGGTGGAGATGTACACATTGGTTAAAACTTGTAGAGAGCATTTGGCGACAATAACCAGCAAATTCGCTTACATGATTGGATTTCATTAGTGACTATCGCATACTTCACTGTCGCCTGCTGAGTAGTAATTGTAACGTTACCTGCTTATTTATTCCAATTCAGTTCTACCATTTCATATCAAATACTATAATTGCATAAGTTTTTTCACCTAGCTAAAAAAGGGGTTAATAGAAATGAAATGACAAGTCTTACGCACAGCATTTAGAGTCTGTGCTACATATTCATATTCAAACGAATTATCATTTTTTGTTTTCTTTTATTGAGGCTTGAAAGTCAATCGCGAAACTCCGTTTTATAGAAAAATTTTTAATAATGAGGTAATGTGATATTCTTTCCGAATTTATTTATAGCAATTTAGCTGATAGACTATGATGAGCATTTCAGTAATGGTTCGAATCGAAATTTCAATTACTTTCTTTATAGAGTAATACTTACCCTAATTGTAGGGGATAATTTTGGCTTTGAATACCCAAAAACTTTCGCAAATCAAAACAGAGATGTTATTTATTTTACATATGTTTCTTAATACAATTATCTGCACTCTTTGTAGTCTTTTGCGAATAAGGTGAAATTTTCAGCATTTTATAATAAATTTTTAAAAAAATTTGTCAAAATTAAAACATGTCGGCACCTTTGGAAAATCTTGAAACGCAACTGGAAATGTTTATTGAAAATGTACGTCAAATACGCATCATCGTCAGCGATTTTCAGCCTCAGGGACAAAATGTGCTAAATCAGAAAATGTATGAATATTTTTAAAAAACTCTGCTCTTGTTATTTTATTAAAATTATTCCTTTATTTCAGAAATGGTTTGGTTACTGGTTTGCAGGAAATTAATAAACTACGCAGTCAAGTTCAGGACATATATGTACCTTTCGAAGTCTTCGACTACATTGACCAGGACAAAAATCCACAATTATATACCAAGGACTGTGTGGAAAAAGCATTAGCAAAGAACGAAGAAGTTAAGGGTAAAATTGATGCGTATCGTAAATTTAAGGCTCACATGCTATTGGAATTATGTAAAACTTTCCCCAACGAAATGAACATGTACCGGGCCTATCGTCCAGACTCGATTTAATAATCCGCATTACTCAGTAAACCAGTCTATATGTAAGTCGTAATAAAAAATTATTATAAATATAAATAAATGAACAATTATCGTAGAACTTGAAATAAAAAAAAAATGCTCCCTCATATTTCACTGTTTTTATTTCACTTTGAATGCAGGTGCGAAAATATATTAGAAATTAACTAGCAAAGCGACTTGCCATTTGCCTTAACATAGCTGTGTAGGCACCCTAATAGGGCTTTGTTAAATATTCAAGAATAAGAATCTTTATGGAAAAAATACCTTTGAAACAAGCTAAACGAATTAAAATTTTTGCTTTCCAGAACTGTTTCTCAAATTTTTGAAATGTGGTATTTTAGCATTTTATAGGAAAATGGCTAAATTCGCGATGCTGGTGCATTCAAAACACAAAATTCCAGCAATATTCACCTATATCATATGAATCTATATATCTATATCGCCATATATACGGGCGGTACATAGCTCGTATCTGGGCGAGGCATATGCATGCGCTGCATAGAAAATTTTGAAATTTTTCCCATTCGAAAGATATTTCTATATAAATTCATATAACGTACGAAAATGTACACATTTTCTAGTTTGGCCGCACTAGAGTCTCAAATTTGGGTGTTCGTTTTTACCCATTTTTTGCTAACATGACAAATTTCAAAAAACTGCTAAAAATAGTTCCTATGAGCAGAACTTGAATGTGTTTAGTTTTTTCGAAAGGTCATAGAGTCATTAGGCGTCTGCAAAAATATTTTACATTTTTTAATATGGACGTAGTAGGCTTCCGTATCCAAATATATCAAGCAAACCTGTTAGGTCGTTTACAGAGCTCCGTTAAGGGAAAAGGCAGGTGTTTTTGTTAATTAATTTCGAATTTATTTTCACACGCGCAAACCATACGCTACAAACTGACAAGTTTCTCTTTCGCACTGAAAAATTTAATAATAACAATATTATTTTTATATGCTTCTATTTTAGAAGCAGATCTTTTTATTTGTTTCATATCATGTTTTATAATGCCAGTAAAAGTTCGTGTTTAGGTATATTTAAAATGTACGATTTTCATTTGTGATTGTGTGTGGTGTGTGTATAGTCTATATTATCTTATATCTATAAATTTTAATTAATTTAAGAGCAGATTTAAACTTAGTTTAACAATCCTTTCCTATATATAAAAACTAGAGCACTCTTTGAGTTTCATTTGCATTTTATTTACCATTTTCCGTATTTTATTAAACAAAAAAAAAAAAAAAACTGAAGAATTTTAAGGAGAATTTGAGAGACAAACAAGGAGAAAACAATATATACGCAAAATTAAATGCTATATAATTGAGAGGTTTGATTGCACGCACCATTGAATCGAAACGAGACTTGAAAAAAAAATTGAATCAATTTTCCTTGTTCAGTATTTACGGAGTAATTCAATAGAAATTCTATCGCATTATTTCATCATATATAATCGTTTATTTATATATTGAAGATAAATAAATATGTTGTGTGCTATGATTCGGCTACTTTTGTTTCACAAATATTCTTCTTTTTCTTCTTCTTCTTCTTCTTTGTCTCGTTTACTTGATTACATTAAAAGTAAATAGAATAGAATATAACACACACAAAAGTTTATACATTTTTTTTTTTTTTTTTTTTTTTAATTATTTATTTATTATAATTTTTTTTTTTTCTGCAAAACTCTAAGCTGGCCACCTCTGCTGTTCGCTCTAGTCCTCCGAATGCAGTGGGATTTTACCATTTACAATTGATAATAGACCTTATATACACATATAAAGATTTGCAGGACTGACGGTATCATTAATGGTTCTAAAAAAAAAAACAGCAAAACAAGTCTTCCAGTTCACTCTTTATACCTTTTTAAGTAATTTCCACCGCACACTTGCCATCACCATATTTGACTTTCAATTGTAACATGTTTGATTTTTTTCCTTTGGTAATTTAAGCGAAAAGCATAAACTCTTAGGAATTTGGTTTTAATTTTTTCTGTCAGCTTCGCTTGATATATATATATTTTTTGTTTGCTATGTCTTTGTGTGGCAATGTTACTGTGTTCGGTGGTGACCGGCTGTAGTTGTGGCGGCAAGCAATTCATTTGGTCATTTACTTTCGCAACAACCATTTAAGTGCTTTTGTATGGCTGGCGGTATAACGTCTTTTGTCTTTGTACGATTGCACTGTCCCAACAAAGTTGGTTCGTTAACTTTGCCCAATTGTATTTGTTCAATTTTCTTTAAAATATCGTAGCTAATAAGATCGCTCACCAAGGAATCTTTTCTGTAAAAATGTACAAATAAGTTACACAAACATGCACATATTTACGACAGCAGCAATTGTTGAATGTTAAAACAAACTTACTTGTAATCTGAATGATTAAGGACTTGTTCGCGTAACCAGGTGGCTGTTGTAAACAAATCGCCGGATGCTCGTTTCTGTATAAATCTTAAGTATTGTTCAATGGTACAGTGAGTGTCGGTATCCACTTCCATTGATTGTAAATATCGACGTATCAAAGGCACCAAACCGGGAAACGTGTCCGGCTATAAAAGGCGAAAGCTGTAAATGCTCTTAATAATAATCGTATTTAATGAATTCATACTTACTTTGCCATTAAAAATCTCCCCTATAGTCATTAATTCAAATTCAGTTTCTTGCCGATTTGCATAACCGTTTGTGCCCATTGCGTGTGTTTTGTCAATGTCAACATCACCGTTTGTAGTTTCGTTGGTAACATGTAGGCTATTGGGATCAACATCGTTCATCGTATAACCATTCGATTGATTTGGAGTTTTGCGTATATTTTTGCGAAACCAAAATTTCTCCGTACGGCAAGCATCTCGCTTTTGAGCGGTTTGCATATTTTCATCCACTTTACTAATTGGTACCAGAAAATTTAACTGATACGATAATATGACGCGTGTCAACAATACCACGAAACATACAAACGCAGCGTTCTCGAAATCGCTGATTTGTGCCTCACAAGGCCTAAATTCTACGCGCCAACCAATTGAAGAATTCGGAGGTGGCGGTTTGAAGCGCATTGTCTGCCAATTGGTTGATTGTATATTTTCGAAATGATCGGAATCTTCTTCATCGTTTTGATGCACTTTCTCGCTAAACAGAGATACCGTGTCACGTATAAAAAGATGAGCCACATGTTGGGCCAATAAGTGATCTATACCACCGTCACGTAAACGCTGATAAATTTTATCATCGTATATAACTGGGACATCATTGTATTTTTCACTTTCCGGTGATAGATACAGATCAATGGAATCGTATCGAGATTTGGCAATACGAAACTTCTTCTCTTCCAATGGCTTGAGACCGCGCTCCTCTGGTGTGCGACAGTCCACTGAGGAACTTATAACATTCCAGCGGCAATCCGATTCCGTGAGATAACCGCGATAGATGGGTGAGGCAGCAGTAAGAGCGAGCATAATAGGACATAGTGGTGCCAATTGATCGTATAGAGTACGAGCTTCCGTTATGTTGCACGCTTGGAATGTTAATTGCAAACAACAGCAACCCATGCCAAAACCCATAGCATCGAGCAGGACTACATCCGGTTCATTAGGTGGACTGCCCTCCACCGGTAATTTGGTATTTATATCTTTATAGACTTTTAATTTGATCGCAACCTTTTCGCCGCGTCGCATACGTATATTACGCGTTAAAGTTTTAAAGCGTGGATGACCTGGGTATATAGCCTCATCGGGAAAATATAAAGATCGCGCGGCGCTAAACACATCATCGGGGCTAGGATTGCAAATCGGATGCGTGAATTGTTTGCAACCTAAACGTGGAAAATTCGTAATAGACATAACGCATTCATCAGGATCGAGCAGTTCGGTTACTTCTTCACGGCGATAACGCATATTAGCCTCGACCACGTTAAAGTGAGCTAATAAACCGCCAAACGGTTTGCCTGGTGTTCCCTCAATCATGTAGGCGCCATATTCGGGACGCCATAATGACTTTACACCCGTCGGATCGGCATGCTCCTTTTCATTAAGTTTGGCCAACAGCTCTCTTGCTTTTAAAGAGACCCGAGCCACCTTTTGCTGATCGTCAAATTTTACGATGATATACTCAACTTCATCGCCCCATTTGAGTACATCGCCTTGACGATCCTTTAATCTATGATAAAGATTTATGAACTGCTGAACACCATGCTCCCGTACGTGTTCGGCTAAACCTTTTGTTTCCTCCCAAGACAAAGGGCTGCCTTCACTTAAAAGACCCATTATTCTGAAAGGATTTTAAAAAAATATATCAAAAAATTCGAAGAGATCTTTTTCTATATATGAATCTTTAAAACCAAAAAAAAAAAAAAAAAAGTATATATATATATATAGGGAATTAATTTTTTCGGTCCCTGTCACTCCACTTGTTGAAACTGAACTTTTCAAAATTAGATATAAGAATGCGAATAATGTCCGCTATGCCACAATAAGGAAGAACTTCATTTATGACTTTTAAGAAGAAATACTGAACACATACATATACAAATCTACTCAACGGTCGTGTAAATTGTCAACTAAAAAAACGCTTCAAATTTAATACAAACATAGTAAGTGCCAAACATTCGGCTCAACGCACACACAACTTCTTTAGATAACATTACTAACATGATCTATATATCGTAGCAGGATATGTAATAAATTAATGCAAACCTTAAAGAGTTTGAAATTCTCGCGTGTGTTTGTAATTCTTACGCTAATCGGATATGTTTACAATTGCAAAACAGCAATTTCTGCCGCGTACGTAGATGGCTCTCTTTTCAAACTCCACTTCGGCTCCACGTAGAGTCGCGACCATCAACTTGGCGTTTCTGAGTTATAATCTCAGGTAAATCATACATGATCGTGAGCTGCTGTAATGACTGAGTCAGTCGACAAACATTTACAGCTTGGATGCGCATCCATCCAGGCTGCAGCCATTCCTTATATCTTTCTCTCTTTCTCCTTTTTTGTGTGAGATATCCCTTAAATTCATTTAAAAAAAAAAAAAAAAAAAAAAAAAAAAAAAAGTAAGAAAATTGCATTCGGTCGGGACTGAATCTTTTTTGTCCATCACCGTTTATCCAAAAAGAAGTAAAGAGCAAAAGTTCTCTTGCTCTATAGGATGAGGCGGACGCAGTTGATTTGTTCTATTTTTAAAATAAAAGTTTTTGTCGTAGAGGCATTTCGGTGTTGTAGGCGTGTCTTTTGAAAAGTTCAGATCCATTTCAGATTCTTTTGCAGATTTTTGCTAACGGCAGAATGTTTACCGTAAATCTGCAAAGTTGCGCAAATAGACAAATGGACAAGTGGACATGCTTAGGTGCATTCAAGGTTGTATACTTTATGGTGTTTCTAAAGCTTGTTTCTGCCTCTTATAAAATTATTGAAGAAATAATTGAATTTTAATGCACTATAATATTGGATAGACGTGCGTGTTCACTTTATTTTATTTTTATGCAACCAATGTGTCACAAATTTTTGTACATTTATTTGCTATAGTTTATGAGTAATGAGCGAAAAATCAATTTTTCATCCCCTTTGAAAAGCAGAGGTGTTCTTAGTTTATATGGTACTGTGGGCGTGTCCTTCGATCGATTTGGTCCAGCTTCAATACCAATCGGCGTGCACGAACTTACAATATGTCTGTCAAATTTGACGACGATAGCTTTATTTATATCTGTTTACAACAGACATTACACAGACGGACAGACGGACGTGCTTACATCGACTTCGAATTTGATGCTGATCAAGAATGTATATACATTGTGGGGTCTCTGAAGCGTCCTTACTTCTGGGCGTTACAAACAGTTTTGACAAAATAACTGCATCTCTCATCCTTCGGTCATGGGTATAATCATCAATTACTGACAAACCGAATTCAATATAATCGAAAATAATGACGAAATTGAAATAAAATATGATTCAAAACAAGAAATTGTATTCTTGAAAGAAAAATATTGAAGTCGCTGAAAAGTAAGTACAAAAAAAAAAAAAAAAAAAAAAAGATTATAGAATAACAACAGTGTGTACAATACATTGAAGCCGTCAACGATATCGCTAACATTTTATAAACAATTATTGCATCGATGCAGATTTATTTAATATATCGCCCCCACATCAAATAAGTTAAGAGAACAAAGAATTTATTGAGCGATAAACTTGCATCTGCGGCATATCACATACAATTTTCCAATGAATTTTATCGCTCTTGTAAAATAATATTTTTGGAGACAGATTACGAATAAATATTATAATAGAATTCAATTTTTGCAATTTCTTTTCCCTCCTCTTCATTTTATTGCTTAATTGCCACTCTATGGATATTTTATTGCGCAAAGTTGATTAACGGAAAGAAAATTTTTGCTATGAAATTTCTAAACGGGCTTCAAAAAGACTGCACCTATCAAATAAATACCTGTCGGTGTTTAATATCCAGCTCTGCTTTAATGCATTAAAAATATATTTATTTATTTATTTATTTTTTTTGGAAAATTTTTCTATTAATTTAACCAGTTAATTGTGTATGACGAATGTATGTATATGTGATGTTCCGTCCGTCCGTCCGTCCGTCCTCATAAAATTTTATCATTAGCGCATATGTATTTTGCCATAATAATGTATGTATTTTAGAGTGTGTGTATGTACGCGATTTTGTCAAGTTATTTCATTACAATCTAGTTTCAAATTGCACATGCTCTCTGTATGTATAACGAGTGTACTTCATCATCGTTAAATTTTTACGACGCAATTTAAATGCACATTAGCAGCATTTCCAAATAAATACACTTTAGTTTAATTACATTCAGTTCACGCTTCACTGCGGGCTTGTGCCTTGATCAATTTGGCCCATTTTTCCATACCAAATTGCATGCAAAAATTTCTAATGTCGATATCCTAATTTTTGCGATCAAAAGAATGGCAATAACATAACACCATACAACACAAGACGGACAGACATGGCTTTATCAATTCGGTATTTCATGCTGACCGAGCGTATATATATATATATGTATATATATATATATTTCTCTTGGGTGTAATTAGATGAGTGGCAACAACATCAAACCATACAACACGAGACGGACAGACATGGCTTTATCAATTCGGTATTTCATGCTGATCGAGAATTTATATATGCTCCTCTTGCGTGTTACATACTTTATGAAAAGGAAAAAAAAAAACAAAATGACTATAGCGCCCATCCTTCAGTGGTGGGTATAAAAATGATTTATTAACAAATTATTGTTTTCTTATTTTGATCGAAATTTGAACTTTTCGCCAGTCACACGAGAATGAATATGTATATATTATTGAAATATTTTATGCATGTGATGGACTTACGATTAATTGATTTTTATACCCTGCATCAATTTCGGTGCAAATAGCGGACATGCGTAACACCCAGAAGAACTTGAGCTAACATGATGAACATGTTATTATAGCGATCGACTCAGACTCGAATAAATTTGTCGATTCCATGTAAGTTTGCTTATGCGTCTGTCCGTATGTCCGCCCTTGTACTGCTGCGTTCAATCTATAGATCGCAATATTTGGGAGATATTTTCATTAAATTTCGTGCGCAGATATATTTTGGATCAAATATAAACGCTATTATGGTTTGGATCAGATCATTTTTCATACAACGCCTCACTTTGCAAAGTCTTTAAATTAATAATTTTCGGGGCGGTGTGGGATATTTAATAGTGGGCCGGTGGACTATTAAAATGAGTTTATTTTGTTTTTATTTTCAGATTCGTACTGTGTGCCGTAGAGCCCCTTAAATTAAATATGTGACGAAAGAAGGGCTCGGTGTCTTCTTTTAATACCTAAATGCATGCTTAATAACGTTTTCAGAGATTATTAATCTGCCTGCATTCAATGAAATTTTGCATCAATCTAAGCATTTTCATCTCGATTTCGAAGCGCATGAAGTAACTAAATCGACATTAGCAAATAGGTTAAATCGATCAAAGCTACAGCTTAACTATATTTAACGCTTTGCACTCGAAGCTTTTTTTCATTCGTATTACAATGTACGAGCCGCGACCGTCATTTGTCACCAACAGCGAAACACCCGAATACTAGTTTTTAAGATATGTTTTTGTTTTTATGTTAAGAACTGCAAATTATTTACAATGTCTCCGTAGCGGAGCCCTCGTGTTTGAAGACCAATTTTAAATGGCTCCGCTTCGAATTTTTTTTTTTTTTTGATTTTGCAAATGAAATCTTGCAATACTTTATATAAAACAAATAAGAACATACAAGCTTGGGCAAGGTCCTACACCTCATCCTACGTCATATTGTCTAACACAATTCTTATTTTTATAGAGTACAAAAATTATATCTTGTTTCTATATAACGGCGTATTTTTCATATGCGTAGCGCCGGGGAAGCGGACCCCAAAATGCTACCTAAAGTAGTGCAAGTTTAATCCTTACATAGAGCAGAATCCCAAAAATTGTGGAGATGGTCCAAATTTTCATTGTGAAGCATTGATTATTATAACTTCTTGTCGTATGAACTTCAGTGTTCGTTATAGGCGAGGAGGTTCGAAAATTGACCCAGTTAGTCCAAAATTTTCATACCAATTTAGAATGCCTAAATGCTACTATTTTGCCATTTTTGCCGAAAAGGTTTCAAAATTGCAATTGTTTGCTATGTAACGACTTTTCAGAATAGGGCGATTCAGACCATTTTGAACAGCGTTCGTTCCTTGCGTTCCTAGCGTTCCTTTTGCGAAAGCACGTCATTGTACGAAATATCAAAAAATTGCGAACTATAGATGGAAAACAAATTTACATGGACAGACATCAGACGGACAGACAGGCTTAGCTTAATTCTAATTATGATTCGGAATCGATCGATATAATAAGAAGTCTGTAAAACTAAAAAGTTGGATCTATCTTAAGCTCTTACGCGTTTTATATACGTCCGCACTAACTTAATATACCCTGTACCACAAGTGGTGTAGAGTATAAATATCTTGTTAATAATAAGCAGAAAATGTCTTTTATTTTTGAAATTCTCGTAATTTCAACAAGTATAACACACACACACACACACCCCTCACAAGTAAACCGACTCGAAGCGACTTAAGCCGTTTGAAAACTAAACATTAATACGCTTACACATTAATACATTGCTGAATAAATTCAGTCATATATTTGAGAGGGCAGTGTAAAAACAACAACAACAACAACAACAAAAAGAAGAAGAGAACAAGTAATAAAATAATAATTAACTAAGCGTTTGTTCCGTCTTGTTCGCGCCCTTCGCAGCAATTCATATAAATAAACGTGAGCTATATCGAAATAAATTTTCGCTAATTGCTATTCAACTAATCTTATCTTGAAGTGCATTCATTAAACAAAAAAAAAAAAAAAAAAAAAAAAAAAAAAAAAAAAAAAAAAATGGAATTAAGTAATGCTGAATCATTTTTCAAATTTTACTTAAATAAATAATTATCATATAGCGATATATTAAGTGATTAAAGTTTATACAAAAAAGAAAAAAAAATAAAAATTTCATAAAAGTAATCTTTAATAACAAAATAAATAAAAAAAATTATAATGATTTTGAGGTGAATCTTAGATGCTCTTTGCGCAGTTCAATAATAATTATTAATTCTGGTAAAATTAAGTTAAGATTAATCGACAATGAGCTTTACGAAGACTACGTTAAATATGGTAAACGATTCTCTCGGATTGATATTTGATATCGCGTTGTTAACAATGCCAAAGGAGGAGGAGATTTATGTGTCTTGCGGTTTTTTTTCACTTTCATCAGATTTCTTAAACGTAATCGCAACGGAATCATGACACGATCGCGTTTATGCTTCATTGTTTGCCATTATCTAATCAGGTTTCATTTATTTTTTTACGTAAGTTCAACGTAATGACAAGAGTTAGACAAGCAAGTGCCAATTAGTAATCGTACTGGCGTGCCATCGATGAAGAAGAAGATCTCTGCAGATTTCTGATTTATTATTTTTAGATTTTCTCAGTGGCTTGAACAATCGTGTACGTTTTCGCTTTTCGATCGTTGTTGGCCGATGCAGAAAATAGCTGAGCATCAAAGGCAAGGGTCACAGAAGATCTGCAAAAACGGAATAACATATGGCCAGGACCAAGAGTCCAGAATGCGGAAACTGAATTTCATATCTTTCAGGAATGGTTTGCCGTAGAGTCATGTTTTATTTATTTATTTATTTATTCTATTTAAACAAACAAGAAATTCAACAATTCAAACAAATTGACAGTCGAGTTCAATTGACTCGTTAAAGTAAATTTTAAATTAATTTAATATTAAAAACTCGGTATAAGTATAAGAAGGAAAAAGAAACGAGCATGTACACAACTTGCACAGAGCCACACCCACAACCGGTACCCGGATCAAATTGCAAATGAACCCCTAAGCCATCGCAAACATGCATAAGCTTGGCAACCGATAATAATAGTTAATAACAATTAATTTTCGACTCATAATGACGTTTTAAGGTTAAGAGCTAGAGTAAGTACGACATTGATAAATTACGCGTATTAAGCAATGTTGCTTTAATGGACTTTAAAGCGAATAAGTGATAGACATCATTTAGGTTCTTGCAAACAACAATGAGCGGGTTAAATAGCTTACAATTATATTTACATTGACTAAGCTTAACCAAGATAAAGGGCCTAGAGAAGCGATTAACTACATTAAAGCTTATTTCACCAAGTAATGCAGGCGAGTCAATAGCACCATTTATTACTTTTTATTTCGATTACGAAGGAAACGCCAAGAATATATCTACACTTCTCGAGAGACGGTAGGGAACACAGAAGCAACCTAGGGGAAGAGAAGCTATCGAATCCTAACCGAAATTCCTAAGGGCAAACAGCAAGAGTTCCTGCTATCGTCGTCAACTAATAATAAATTCCCCAATAAGTTATTCCATTTGACGCTCTACTTGTCTCTCTCAGTCTCAACCTTTTCCTTCTCTTCTTCGTCCGAAAATAACTGTGGCGTTCGCTTTGCCTACTTATTTATTTAGTGCAGGCGTCGCACAAAACACAAATCAGGTAAACGAAATTTTTTATGGAAACATCTGCGTTTACGTGAAATTTTTCCCACATGGAAAGATTAGGCAACACACACACACACACACGCTTATTATTCAACTTATATGCACTTCATGGGAAGACTCCAGAAAGTATATTGTCACAGATGTCACGCGTTCCCCGTGGGTTGCCGCGTAGTCGAGTAGATAAGAGTCGTCAAATTTATCAAGTCGATGTTCGCGGATATTAATCTGAGCGCGGCAAGCCATACTTGATCGTTAGTCCGTATAGTGAGTTTTCGATCAGTGAAGACTTAGCGATCGGATACAGGCACTGCCTATCTTTTCCTCTTACTCGGTCGGTAAATACTTAGCTGTCGGATACAGACACGGCGTACCTTTTCCCCTTGCTCGATCCGTAAGC